ATCTAGAAAGGTTATGGTTTAGATGAAGTAAGATTGGCCATGAGTCAGTAATTTTAAGAGCTAGTGATGGGTAAACGGAAATTTATTACTACTATGTGATAGCTGGTTACAATGGTGACCACATTTTCATTTAAGCACATACTATGAATATGCTTAGCAGATGAGGTATTACGAGATCCAAGAGAGAAACTGCAGTGTCTATGTCTATATTAAATGCCTCTTGGGACTTTCAGCCTGAGTACATCATGTGAAACCAAGAGCCACCCTCACTGTGCCTAATCTGAATGCCTGACCCACAAAACTGTGGGAGATAATAAAATGATTACTTTTAAGGATGAAGTTTTGAGATAGTTGTTGCATAGCAATAGATAACCAAGTATCATTCTCTTTTGTGTATACCTGAAGTTTTCTATAACAAGAAGAAAAAAAAATGATGACACAAAAGGTCTTCAGATTACACAGGCACTTAGAACTTGTTATACCTTTTGCTAATGACAAAAAAATTTGTTATTATTTGTGAAATTACGCTACCAGTAAGCAGCACACTTTCATCTAAGCATATACTATGAATATGTCTAGCATATGAGGTATTATAAAATCCAAGAAAGAAATTTCAGAGTCTATGTCTATACTAAATTCATAATCACTCTCAATCCAGCAAGTACAAAAGACATGTAAATGACAACTCACACATTAGTTGAAGAGAATGTTATTTGTAAAACTGTATTCTAGAAAGTTAATTGCTCCTCAAACAACTTTACTGTGAGATAAACAATAAAAACTTTCTACACCACAGACACACCAAAAAAGGCACAAGGCAGTTTTACATAAAGTTTGATTAATATTATTTAACTCCTAGACCAAACCTCAGCCCTTCTGAACCACAATCTCTCACAGCAGAGCCTAGAAATCTACATTTATAAGAAACTGCCAGCCGGGCACAGTGGCTCTCACGTGTAATCCTAGCACTTTGGAAGGCTGAGGCGGGTGGATCACCTGAGGTCAGGAGTTCGAGACCAGCCTGGCCAAGGTGGTGAAACCTTCTCTACTAAAAATACAAAAAAATTAGCTGAGTGTGGTGATGCATGCCTGTAATGCCAGCTACTGGGGAGGCTGAGGTAGGAAAATTGCTTGAACCTGGGAGGTAGAGGTTGCAGTGAGCTGAGATTGCACCATTGCACTAAAGCCTGGGCAACAAGAGTAAAACCCCGTCTCAAAAAAAAGCAGCTCCCAGGCGATTCTTAGGTACTAAAGTTTAAGAATCACTGGTATAAAAGGGTGTGGCAGAAACAGCTGCCTTAACTTGTTCAAGGTTCTAAGAATTACAAGATAAAAATAGGCATAGAACTCAGAAAATCCTGGTGAACGCACCACCTACCACAGCATGAGTAACTCCCAAAAATACAGCACTGTGACATGACAAAAGTACTGAAAAACATTTAAAGTTATCTAAGGCTTCATATGCAAAAAAAATCTAGTTTTGTGTAGAAAGCTAAAATCTGGTCATCATTCCTATAGAAAGGAAGTGTCACTGGGAATAAATAAAGTTGGCCACGAAAAGGAAGTATTAGTAACCCCAAAAGCTCCCCAAATTAAAGGACAGTACTCTGAAATGTGACTGTATGGGTGTTGAATATGTGAGAAAAGGATGATGTAATCAGAACTAAGTGGATTTGGAGTGAAACTTAGTCAGTACTTTCAGCATTATGCAGAAGACACAATGCCCAGAATAGCTAAAGAAAGCTCATGGTCAGCTTTCCCACGGTGAATAAGCATGACTACCAACCTACCCAAGTTATACTGAATTATCCCTTAAGGAATTATTTCACAATATGAATGAATGAATTTGTATTCTGGCTCTATGTATTCTTGTATTAATTTCAGAAAAATAAACCAGCTTTCTGAAGATATGATAACCTTGGTAAAATTAAATCTCCTTTAAACAGTCTAACCCTTCATTTTTGTAATTAAAGGGGGAAAAAATTATTCCAAGTCTTAAAATTACTGAAGCCATTAGTTAAAAGACTGAAATTGTTTAGACACGGATAGAAGGATAACTAGTTGGCTCCCAAAAACTCTAACTAGTTCTTTGATTAATTGATTGTGGCCTAGAATCTGACCCTGAATATTATAAACCCAGAAACGCATTTTAATAGGACCCCACCAATAACCAGGCTCAGAGATGCTGAGTCACCCTTTTTAAACTTTTAAGAGATGGAAATAAATATACTACAGTTCTATAAGAGGCCCAATTCTAAAGATGTTCCCTGGCTGGGTATGGTGGCTCATGTGGGTAATTCCAGCACTTTGGGAGGCCAAGGTGGGAGGATCACTTGAGCCCAGGTGTTCAAGACCAGCCTGGGTAACATGAAGAAACCCTGTCTCCATTTTTTAAAATAAATAAATAAAAATAAAGATGTTCCCCTCATCCTAAGATTTCTGTTTTCTGATTATTCCATCAAACACTAACCAGGTAGTGCTGGGAAAGGACTTTACAGATGGAATAAAGGTTACTAATCAGTTGACCTCAAAGTAGAGAGATTATCCTGGATTACCCAGATGGGCCCAATGTAATCCACATGAGGCCTTAAACACAGTTAAGAGTCTGCTGTGGTGGCTCACACCTATAATCCCAGCACTTTGGGAGGTTGAGGGTTGAGGTGGGAGGATTGCTTGAGCCCAGGAGTTCAAGACCAGCCTGGGTAACACAGAGAGCCTCGTCTCTATTAAAAAAAATTAAAAATTAGCCAGGCGCCGGGCACAGTGGCTCAAGCCTGTAATCCCAGCACTTTGGGAGGCCGAGGCAGGTGGATCAAGAGATCGAGACCATCCTGGTCAACACGGTGAAAACCCATCTCTACTAAAAACACAAAACATTAGCTGGGCATGGTGGCACGTGCCTGTAGTCCCAGCTACTCAGGAGGTTGACGCAAGAGAATTGCCTGAACCCAGGAGGCGGAGGTTGCGGTGAGCCGAGATCACGCCATTGCACTCCAGCCTGGGTAACAAGAGTGAAACTCCGTCTCAAAAAAAAAAAAAATTAGCCAGGCATGGTGGCTTGTGCCTATAGTCCCAGCTAGTCAGGTGGCTGAGGGAGGAGGATAGCTTAAGCCTGGGAGGTCGAGGTTACAGTGAGCTGTGATAGTGCCACCGCTCTTTAGCCTGGATAATAAGAGTGAGACCCTGTCTCAAAGTAGAAGAGGAAAGCAGAAGAATCACTCCTAACGATCTAGAACAGGAAAGACAAGGCAATAGGAAAGGTCACAGAGATTCCGTGATTTCATTAACAACCTCGAGGACTTCCTGTGCTCCTAGCTTTGAGAATGGAGAAAGGGGGCCAGGAACCAGGGAGTGCAGACAGCCTGTGGAGCGGAGAACAGGCCCTGGCCAAAACAGCGGTCTCATTCCTAAAACCTTAAGGCAGCGAATTCTGACAACAACCTGAAAGAACCTAAAAGTGGATTCTCCCCCAAGGCCTCCAGGTGAGGGCCCAGGCTGGCCAACATTTTCATATCAGCCTTATGGAACCTGCAGCAAACCAGCTGAGCCTGATAATCTTCTGACCCACAGAACTGTGAGACAAATTTGTGTTGTCTTAAGACATCTAATTTTGGGTAATTTGTTACAGCATCAATAGAAAACTAATATAGATTAATCTATTATGTGAAATTTTAACCGTCAAGCCTGCCAGCATCCTTTCCTATAAGAAAAACTGCATGGAGGCCAAATGTCAGAAAACTGCAGGAGGAGATTTAGTTACATGCTTAATATGCTCTGATAACTAACAAAATGATCTTTTCTTTTTTGTTTTTGGTTTTTTTTTTTTTGATACGAAGTCTCACTCTGTCACCCAGGCTGGAGTACAGTGGCACGATCTTGGCTCACTGTAATCTCTGCCTCCCGGGTTCAAGTGATTCTCCTGCCTCAGACACCCAGGTAGCTGGAACTACAGGTGCACAACACCACACCTGGCTATTTTTGTATTTTTAGTAGTGACAGTGTTTCACCATATATTGACCAGGCTGGTCTCAAACTCCTGACTTCAAGTGATCCACCCAACTCAGCCTCCGGAAGTGCTGGGATTACAGCTACTGCGCCTGGCTAACAAAACTATCTTGACAAAGGCATATATACCTGTCAAGCAGACTAGATATTCACTTTGGCCTATTAAACCACCCACTTGGAAGGACACTACGAACACTCATTCCTTCTTTAAAGGTGGCAGTACAATTAATCTATAGCCAAGTCTTATTCTGGCTTATAAACCTGTCTGCCTCATCAGTGATTTTATGTATTAACCCATTTGCTGTATTCACTTAACTCTCAGAGGTAACTGATTTCCCCAAGGCAAGGGAATGAATTGTTCAACATTAGCACCACAGTCCACGTGAACCACATAAAAATACCATTAGCACACAGTAACAACACATTGTCTACGTTTATCAATGAGCCTAAAAGGCAGCATACTTGTTATCTTCCTATCAAAAGTATTTCCTTTGAATACTTAAAATTTGAAACAAAAATTGAGAATATAAAACTATTTTTGTGTTCAAATACCTTGATAGATCCACAAAACCCTAAAAAACTTATTGGATACTAATTACCTATTTCAGAAAAAGAGAAAAGGTAAAGATAAAGATTAAGAAAACCAATTCGCTGAAGTTCAAGAGCACTTAAAAAAAAAAAAAAAAAGCGGAACAATGAGAACACATGGACACAGGGAGGGGAGCACTACACACTGGGGTCCGTTGGGGGGAAATGGGGGAGGGACGGGGGGTGGGGAGGTGGGAAGAGAAAGCATGGGGAGAAATGACAGGGACAGGCAAGGGGACGGAAGGCAGAAAACCACACTGCCATGTGTGTACCTATGCAACAATCTTGCATGTTCTTCACATGTACCCCAAAACCTAAAATGCAATAAAAAAAAAAAAAAGCGAAACTACTTCCCAGTCTAATACTTGAAAAAAATGAACAGAAATTCCCAGCAACTTCATCATTACCATTATTTCATAAGTATGATCGCTTTGATGTTTCTTGTACTCAAACCCTCGAGTGAAACACTGCAAAGAAAGAAAAACTAAGTTAGCAAAAGCTATTTTCTTAAAAGACAGAAGGTACTTTGTGTTATTCTTCTGACAAGTTTGGGTTTTTTTAATTTTATTTTTGGAGACAGGGTCTCACTCTGTCACCCAAGCAAAAGTGTAGCGGCACCATCATAGCTCACTGCAGTCTTGAACTCCTGGTCTCAAGGGATCCTTGTATCTCAGTTTCCCAAAGTGCTGGGATTACAGGTGTGGACTACCACACCACTTCTTGACAAGTTTTTAAGGATTAATTTAATCTTGTCTGCAGCTGCAATCAAAAGGTAGAATCATGATCACAGCTTATCAGCAGCCCTCACAGAGAAAAAACAAGTCTGAAAAACAGACTTTTTCCTAAGACATCTCTTTGAGAAGAGCGTATGCCCTGGAATCACACAGCCTAAATTCGAGTCCTGGCTCTGTAACTGTCTTTCAGCCATTCTAAGATAAATATTTTTGCATATTTTAAACTCTGGGCTGCGTATTATGGCTTGTGCCCGTAGTCCTAGCTACTCAGGGAAGGCTAAGGCAGGAGGATCATTGAGCCCAGGAGTTTGAGACTGCAGTGAGCTATGATTATACCACTGCACTCCAGCCTGAGCAGCAGGGCAACGCTACATCTCTAAAAAACATTCTTTAACTTTTTTTAAATGAAAAATCAAAAGTCTCTGAAGTAGGCTCATGCCTAAAATCCTTACACTCTAGGAGACTGAGGTGGTAGGACTGCTCGAGCTCAAGAGTTCCAGACCAGCCTGGGCAAACATGATGAGACCTTGTCTCTCCAAAAAGAAAAAAAAAAATTAGCTGGGCATGGTGAAACGAACTTGTAGTCCCAGATACTTGGGAAGCTGAGGTGGAAGGATTGCTTGAGCCTGGGAGAAGACAGCAGTGGCACTGAGCCCTGATCGTGCCACTGCGCTCCAGCTTAGGCGACACAGTGCAACCCTGTGTCAAAAAAAAAAACTCTCTGAAATCAAGATTCATCTTATAATCAAAAGTAATCACAACTTTCATCAGCCATTTTTACATTTTAACATTTCTGAAATTGAGGAACTTCTTATAATCAATAGTGTCTTAGAGCTGATAAAATATGGTATTTGCCATGTGACCTTGAACAAGTGACTTAACCTCTCTTAGCCTAAATTTCTTCATCTATAAAATGGGAATACTAATCATAGGTACTTCATAGGATTACAGTAATGATTTAAAGGTTAATTCACGGCCGGGCGTGGTGGCTCAAGCCTGTAATCCCAGCACTTTGGGAGGCCGAGGTGGGTGGATCACAAGGTCAAGAGATCGAGACCATCCTGGTCAACATTGTGAAACCCCGTCTCTACGAAAAATACAAAAAAAAATTAGCTGGGCATGGTGGCGCGGGCCTGTAATCCCAGCTACTCAGGAGGCTGAGACAGGAGAATTGCCTGAACCCAGGAGGCGGAGGTTGCGGTGAGCCGAGATCGCGCCATTGCACTCCAGCCTGGGTAACAAGAGTGAAACTCCGTCTCAAAAAAAAAATAAAATAAAATAAAGGTTAATTCACATAAAGTACTCAAAGTAGTACCTGGTACAGAGTAAGTACTTATAATTAGTATTATTACTATCATTATCACCTACAAAAATTGTTCCTTCCTTTGTCATCTGTACAGAGATCAGTGTTCAACAAGACAATAAACAGTGTCATCAAAAGGAATAATCTTCCAGTTCTGTTTCCTGTAATTTCAATACTTTAAATTTACTTACAAAACAGTGTTATGGCCAGGCACGGTGGCTCACGCCTATAATCCCAGCACTTTGGGAGGCGGAGGCAAATGGATTACTTGAGGTCAGAAGTTCAAGACCAGCCTGGCCAACATGGTGAAACCCCATCTCTACCAAAAATATGAAAAATTAGCTGGGTGTGATGGCATGCACTTGTAATTGCAGCTACTGGAGAGGCCAGCAGGAGAATCACTTGAACCCAGGAGGTAGAAGTTGCAGTGAGCTGAGATTGCACCACTGCACTCCAGCCTGGGTGACAGAGCAAGACTCCGTTTCAGGAAAAAAAAAAAAAAAAAAAAAAAAAAAAAAAACAACGGGTTAAGTATCAGGAGTTTTTTTTGTTTTTTTTTTAAAGACAAAGTTTCAATCTTGTTGCCTGGGATGGAATGCAACGGTGCGATCTCGGCCTACCGCAACCTCCACCTCCCAAGTTCAAGTGATTCTCCTGCCTCAGCCTTCGAAGTAGCTCGATTACAGGCATGCACCACCATGCCTGGCTAATTCTTATATTTCTTAGGAGAGACAGGGTTTCTCCATGTTGGTTAGGCTGGTCTTGAACTCCTGACCTCAGGTGAACTGCCCGCCTCGGCCTCCCAAAGTGCTGGGATTACAGGTGTGAGCCACTGCACCCAGCCTTTTTTTTTTTTTTCCTCTTTTGATATATTGTCTTGCTCTGTTGCCCAGACTGGAGTACAATGGTGCGATCTCAGCTCACTGCAACCTCCTAGGTTCAAGCGATTCTCCTGCTTCAGCCTCTTGAGTAGCTAGGATTACAGGCATCTGCCATCATGCCTGGCTGAAATTTTTTGTATTTTTGTAGAGATAGGGTTTCACCATGTTGGCCAGGCAGGTCTTGAACTCCTGACCTCAGGTGAACTGCCCGCCTCGGCCTCCCAAAGTGCTGGGATTACAGGTGTGAGCCACTGCACCCAGCCTTTTTTTCTTTTTTTTCTTTTGATATAGTGTCTTGCTCTGTTGCCCAGACTGGAGTACAATGGTGCGATCTCAGCTCACTGCAACCTCCTAGGTTCAAGTGATTCTCCTGCTTCAGCCTCTTGAGTAGCTAGGATTACAGGCATCTGCCATCATGCCTGGCTGAAATTTTTTGTATTTTTGTAGAGATAGGGTTTCACCATGTTGGCCAGGCAGGTCTTGAACTCTTGACCTCAGGTGATCTACCCGCCTCGGTCTCCCAAAGTGCTGGGACTACAGGCATGAGCCAGTGCGCCCAGCCAAGTATTAGGTTCAAACACAGATGTGGAATCATCAACAGTCTATCTCATCTAACTGCTCTGTTTCTCAACCTTTCACTGGTAAAATGTACAATGAAAGATGGGAATGAATAGATTAATAAGGTATAGATCTCCTTAGCAGTCGACAGTAATCTCTGAAATATTACATCATAAAAAATAGCATAAAACCAGGCTAGGAGAGGCTAGCATTAGTGAGTTACCTGCAAGCAGAGTAAAAAAGGAGGTGGCCCACATTCAGCACACTTGATATAAGGCTCCATGAGGTAGGTGGAGCAGCCTCGGCAGGGTGGCTTATCAGAGGGATCATCTAAAACAAAGAGAAAACAGATACAAGTTTCAAAACACCTTATAGTTAAGCCTACGTGCAAAAAGGTGAAAATCCCCAAATGACCGTACAAGCAGTGAGCTGAGTTGAAAACTTCATGGACACAAGACAAACTCATTTCAGATGTAAAAAAAAAGCAAAAATTATGCTCCTTTTGACTTCAGTGCAGCGCTGTTCCTTTTCACACAACATTTTTTTTTTTTTTTTTTTTTTTTGAGACGGAGTTTCGCTCTTGTTACCCAGGCTGGAGTGCAATGGCGCGATCTCGGCTCACCGCAACCTCCACCTCCTGGGTTCAGGCAATTCTCCTGCCTCAGCCTCCTGAGTAGCTGGGATTACAGGCACACGCCACCATGCCCAGCTAATTTTTTGTATTTTTAGTAGAGACAGGGTTTCACCATGTTGACCAGGATGGTCTCGATCTCTTGACTTCGTGATCCACCCGCCTCAGCCTCCCAAAGTGCTGGGATTACAGGCTTGAGCCACCGAGCCCGGCCAATTTTTAAATTTTTTTGTAGATACGAGGTCTGACCATGTTGCCCAGGCTGGTCTTGAACCCTTGGGTTCAAAGAATGTTCCTGCCTTGGCCTCTCAAAGCTCGGGGACTACAGGTAAGAGCTACCATGCCCAGTCATGAACATATTTTTAACTGGAAGTTTCATAATATTCCAAACTTATTTTTTCAGGATCATAAAATGTACACATACCTACACGTACATATAAAGAAAATCTGATAAAATGCTAACAATTGCTGAATCTAGGTAGCAGGCATATAAATAATCACTGTAGGCTGGCCATGGTAGCTCACCCTGTAATCCCAGCACTTTGGGAGGCCGAGGCCGGTGGATCACTTGTAGTCAGGAGTTTGAGACCAGCCTCACCAACATGGCAAAACCCTGTCTCTATTAAAAATACAAAAATTAGCCAGGGATGGTGGTGCACGCCTATAATGCCAGCTACTCGGGAAGTTGAGGCACAAGAAACGCTTGAACCTAGGAGGCAGAGGTTGCAATGAGCCAAAATCGCACCACTGCACTCCAGCCTGGGCGACAGAGCTAGACCCTGTCTCAAAAAATAATAATAATTGGCCAGGTGCAGTGGCTCACACCTGTAATCCTAGCACTTTGGGAGGCTGAGGTGGGGGGATTGCCTGAGCTCAGGAGTTCAAGACCAGCCTGAGCAATACGGTAAAACCCTATACCTACTAAAAATACAAAAAAATTAGCCAGGTATGACAGCATGCACCTACAGTCCCAGCTACTTGGGAGGGTGAGGCAGGAGAATTGCTTGAACCTCGGAGGTGATGTTGCAATGAGCCGAGATCACATGGCTGCACTCTAGCCCGGGCAACAGAGCGAGACTCCACCACCAAAAAATAAATAAATAAATCATTATCATCATCGCTGTTCTGTTCTTTTAAGTATTAAATTTTTAATAAAAAGGTGCAGCAAAAAATAAAACTCCTTTTTTTTATTTTTTTTTCACATAGAGTCTCACTGTCACCTAGGCTAAAGTGTAGTGGCACGATCATGCTTCAATGCAGCCTCACTCTCCCAGGCTCAAGTGAGCCCCGCTATCTCAGCCTTCTAAGTAGCAGGGATTACAGGCACAAGACACCACACCGGGGTAATTTTTTAAAAAAATTTATTTCCTGTAGAGACAGGGTTTCACTATGTTGCCTAGGCTGGTCTCAAATTCCCGGGCTCAAGTGATCTCAGGAATTCGACCTGCCTCTGCTTCCCAAAGTGTTGGGATTACAGGTATGAGCCACCACATGCAGTCAGAAAACTTCTCTAAATCCGTGTCTTGGAATATACTACCCTATATTTGAGGTGGAATTTTTTTTTCCTTGAGACAGGGTCTTCAGAGTTGCCCAAGCTGGAGTGCAGTGGCATTATCATGGCTCACTGTGGCTTCACTCTCCCCAGGCTCAGGTGATCCTCCCACCTCGGCCTCCCAAGTAGCTGGACCACAGATGTGCACCGCTGCGCCTGGCTAAATTTTTAATTTTTGCAGAGACAAGGACTCACGATGTTGCCCACACTGGTCGTAAGAAGTCCTCCTGCCTCAGCTCCTGAAAGTGGTGGATTATAGGCTTAGGCCACCATGCCTGGCTCTGAACTGGGATTTAAACCTAGGAAGTGTCTTCCCTTTCTCCCATGGTAAGTACATAACACAGCAGATCTTCTGCTTCCAATGACAGTGGTACGTCTCCAAACTATTAAGGCAAGGAGTACAAGTCAAACTCTCAAAAATTATAAAAATGCAGATACATGTGTCCCTGGTTGCCCCAAACTCAGCCTCTAGAGTCACAGCAACCTAGCAAAATTGTTCTCTATGATCAATCACAAGAATCTAAGAGAAGAAACACTATGAAGACAGATGAAGGAATTTGCTTTCTTTAGCCTGGGACAGGATTTTTCACATTCTGTTAGAGTATTTGCCTCCCTGAAGTCTAAGAAACATTGTTCAAGGCACCTTTCCCTCTTCCAAGTGATGATCACTGTTCTCTTCATTGTTTTTAAGATACAGAGGGCGAGCATGGTGGCTCAAAACTGTAATCCCAGCACTTTGAGGGCTGAAGCAGGTGGCTCACTTGAGCTCAGGAGTTCAAGACTAGCCTGAGCAACACGGCAAAACACCATCTCTACTAAGTATACAAAAATTAGCCAGGTGTGATGGTAGGTACCTGTAATACCAGCTATTCAGGAGACTGAGGCAGGGGAAAAGTTTGAACCCAGGAGGCAGAGGTTGCAGTGAGCCGAGATCATACCACTGCACTCCAGCCTGGGTGACAAGAGTGAAACTCCACCTCAAAAAAAAAGAAAATGACAAACAAAACAAATGTGCTCCTGGCAGCAGCTTCAAATTCAATTCGGCAGCTACTCCACTTCTCCCCATTTTAAATTTTAATACAGACAAACAAATCTTGCTATATTGCTCAGGCTAGTCTCAAACTCCGAGCCTCAAGTGATCCTCCTGTCTCAGCCTCCCAAAGTACTGTGATTACAGGAGTGAGCCATTGCGCTCAACCAAAAATTGTTGTATATTAAGTGACAGATGCCAACTTCTACCAAGTTATCCTCTTTCTCTCTTTCCTCCAGCTATCCTATTAAGAAAAAAGGCATTAGCCACTGACCAAGGTGGTCAATTTTCTTTTGAGATAACTATTTCACTCTGGTTACCCAGGTTGTAGTGCAATGGCTTGATCTCAGCTCATTGAAATCTCGGCCTCCCAGGTTCAGGCAATTCTCATGCCTCAGCCTCCCAAGCATTACATGCGCATGCACTATACTCAGCTAAATTTTGTTATTTTTATCAGAGAGGGGTTTTTGCCATGTTGCCCAGGCTGGTCTCGAACTCCTGGATTCAAGCAATCCACCCGCCTTAGTCTCCCAAAGTGCTAGGATTACAGGCACAAAGTGATTTTTAAATCCAATGTCAAGACGCAATTACTAGGCAGGGGCATGGTGGCTCATGCATGTAATTCCAGCACTCTGGGAGAACAAGGTGGGCAGAACACTTGAGCTCAGAAGTTTGAGACCAGCCTGGGCAACATAGCGAAACCCTGTCTCTACAAAACACACATAAAAAATTAGCCAGGTGCGGTACTGCACGCTTGGTGGTTACACAGAGGCCTAAGGTAGGAGGATCACTTGAGCTGGGGGGGTCGAGGCTGCAGTAAGCCATGAGCACACCACTGCACTACTCCAGCCAGCCTGGGTAACAAAGCAAGACCCTATCTCAAAAAAAAAAAAAAAAAAAAAAAAAGGGCTGGGCGCGGTGGCTCAAGCCTGTAATCCCAGCACTTTGGGAGGCCGAGGCGGGTGGATCACGAGGTCAAGAGATCGAGACCATCCTGGTCAACATGGTGAAACCCCGTCTCTACTAAAAATACAAAAAATTAGCTGGGCATGGTGGCACATGCCTGTAATCCCAGCTACTCGGGAGGCTGAGGCAGGAGAATTGCTTGAGCCCAGGAGGCGGAGGTTGCGGTGAGCCGAGATCGCGCCATTGCACTCCAGCCTGCGTAACAAGAGCGAAACTCTGTCTCAAAAAAAAACAAAAAGAAAAAAAAAGGAAAAGCAATTACTTTGTAAAAGTAATCCAATTAATAGTTTTTAGCATTCCAGACAATAAAACTATAAAGTATGTCATCCACAACATTTTGAAAAATATTTTTCCATTCTTTCTCCTACATAATATAGTACATATATTCAACATTAAGTGGAGGCTGGGCTCGGTGGGTCGCCCCTGTAATCCCAACACTTTGGGAGGCAGAGGCAGGAGGATAGCTTGAGCTTAGGAGTTCAAGACCATGCTGGACAATACGGTAAGACCCTGTCTCTACCAAAAATAATAAAAAGTAGCCAGGAGGCAGAGGTTGCAGTGAGGAAAGATCATGCCACTGCACCTTAGCCTGGGTGACAAGAGTGAAACTCCATCTCAAAAAAAAGAAAAATGAAAAATGAAGTGGAATATCATACATGATGTTTGTAGACTGCTTTCGCACTTGACAATATATTGTAGACATCTTTTCATGACAAGACACACTGACCTTCCTTGTTCTTTCTAATGGATAATAACATTCCATTGTATCAATTATATTATATAACCTAATCATACTCAATTCCCCCGTAGAGAGAGATCCGGAAATCTAAGGAAGTACCCTTTTGTTGCCACAATGACTAGAGAGCACCACTGGCATTCTGCAGGCCCCTAAACCAGGGATTCTCAATATCCTCCAGTGCTCAATACATTCTAACAAAAAACTGACTTTGTGTGTCCTACGCAACCTTCGTATGTCCCACTAGACATTCAAGTTAATTAAAAACGTCCTATGACCTAGAACCTAATTCCATATTATATATAAAACAAAGTACTTTTGACAGTTTTAATATGCACTGTAATTTCCAGAAAGGCAACTGTATCTAACTCTAGAGGAGAATGTATTTTGTTTTGTTCAGAAATTTTAGTTATTC